CCCGCGCTGGCCCACGCGCCGGGCGCCCTCGTGGGCGCCTCGCGCCGGCTCCTGGACGCCTCGTGCCGGCCCCGGTGCCCAACGCCTCCGGTGCCGCCTCCCCGGCCCGGCACAGGCGGCTTCACGCCGCTTCGTGGAGGAGAAGGCGGTGACAGTGAAATCAAACGTGCAGTCAGAAAGGCAGCACTGCTGGGTGGGCTGAGCACGTATTTCTGGGACCTATCGATAGGCCAAGGTCCCTCTCTTCTTTTTTTCTTTATTTTTCCTTTTTTTTTCTTTTTTTTTTCTTTTTGTTTTTTTGAGTGTGTATGGCTGCATTAGCTTCCCCCTGGCGGGCACTTTCTTTCCCTATGTATTTTTTCTTGCATAGATGAGGAACCAGGTGCTTCGGCAGAGCCTCCTTTTTTGTGGGGGAGGGAGGCTGGAGAAACCCCTCTGCCGCCGAGGCCTGGGAACGGTGTGAAGGGAATGGTCTTTGCCGGCACGCCCGTCACCACCTGGGGCCGTGCCGGAGCCTCCGCGTGTCCCCGGGGCCGCCACGCTTGTGGCCAGCTTGGTCCACGCCGCGTCATGCCAAGGCCAGGGCGCACCAGGGATCCTGTCTCACGGACGCCGTGACTTCGGCCGTGGAGGTCAGGCTGACTCCTGTGTACAGCCCGTCCTGACCCGAATACTTGAGGTTGCTGCTTTCGGGGCTGGTGCTCTCTCCCGGGCCCGACATCACTGAAGAGCTTGCCTGGAGAGGGGCGAGAAAGAAGAGAGATTCAGCTCAATCTGTCAGCCTGACCTACTGGTTGGGATAGCAGTGCCTGGAAAACATTGCACGACTTATCTTAACCGTAACGGAAAAGGGAAATTTGCACAAAAATCTGGAAGCAAGAGCGGCCGGCGACAAGGGAGCTCACAGGTGTGTGTCCCACTGCCCCCTGACGGACGTGACCCGGCTCTGGTGACACCTCCTCAAGATGGGGCTCTGTAGGGTGAAACCCAACACGGGGGCACCACCTCGCAAAGCACCAGGCACCGCCACCTCGATGCTCCGAAGAGCTTCCCCTCTCAGCCCAAGCGCAGGAGCCGAGCTGGACCAAGGGCATCCCCGTCCCTCACTCTGCCACATCCCCACGCAAGGCACGGCCTTGGCAGGCGTGAAGGCGGCATTCGGAAATGCAGCCGCTCCATCTATTTTAACGGAGAGTGGCGGAGACAAAGGCACGATCATTTTTTCCATGAGGCTGAGCAGATCCTCTAAAGAGGAAAAAAAATTGCTGTGCCAGACAGAGAAGGGGGCAACGTTTTCACCTGATAAAGGAAATGTTTAAGAGCTGACTTCATGTAAAATTAACTCTTGGATATGTCAGCTTTAAAACCTTAATTTACTTGTTAATAGATAGTCTTTGGACAAGATTCCTTTTTTTTTTTTTTTTTTTAAAAAAGGCCTATCCTTAAACCACGACTGCAGAAGTTTCCTGCCTGCTGTTTAAGTGAAAAGTATACATATTTAATCATTTTACAAGAGTAGAGCTCTTGGCTCTCCTGGAGCCATGCCAAGCGAGCTGTTCTTACACACGAAAATCAAGGTTTCACTTATTCAAAGACAATTCCAAGTAGTGCTGCTTCTTTGTCCTGTTTCACCCAGGTAAAACGTTTTTTTTCAGTAAATACAGATACTCATTGCAAGTTACCCTTTTTGCCTGAAATAACCTGGAGTCCAGCACTGCCTCTATCTTTTTCTAAAACATACGTTCCCTCCTACTCTCGTACCTCATCAGGCACCGGGAGCCTGTTCCATGCCACCCGAAAACGCGGGTATTGAAGAAAAAACAGCCTCCCCAAAAGGCAGACACAGCTGCTGCGTTCCCGAGAAGGAGGTTTCATGTCTTCTCCCTCTATCTGATGAGCAACTATTGTTCACTAAGGAAAAATCTGTATCTCCTCGTTTTCTGTGACAATGCCCAGAGTATCCATTTCTTGCTAACCTTTGGGTCCATTTTCAGTCTTTCATCCATCTAGATCTTCAGGGACGCTTTTTCATTTCTACTGCATAAAATGGACTCCAGCTAACACAAAAGTTGTGACTTTTAACAGGCTGAGCCTCCCCACAGTGGAAAAAAGGGCTTACATTACAGCAGAGCAGTATTTGCTCAGCCTGCGCTAAAAATACTAGGAGCTGCTTTGAAAGGTTCCCGTTTGCCCATATTTGCCCCTCGTCGTTCCGGGAGGCAACTATCTTATCGCTCCCTGTTTTTTTTTTCCCGCCTTGGAAAATGTAATTCGCCCTTTTCCTGAGTCAGTCCCGCCAAGGTGGGGCGCCGCGACGGGCCGCTCGCGCGGCGGCCTCTCCGGAGGCCCAGAAGGGAGGCCCGGAGGCACGTCCTGTTCGGCCCAAGCCCAGCGCCACTGGGCAGGGCCCGGGCAGGAGCGCCGGGCCTGGAAACCCCACCCCGGTAATGTCCCCGCCACACCAGGCAGCGCGGGCAGCTCCCGAGTGAGGCATGGAAAACAAACTCGCGCTGGAGCAAAGGACACGGCTGAGTCAGGCACCTGCTCGCGCGTGGCTGTGGCCAGGGCTCCGCTTGCGGAGGGGAGGACACAGCAGGAGTTAGGGCTGCTCGCGAGGGGATGTTCCCCTCAGCAGGCACTAAGCAGGCTGAACAGGGCTGCCGAAGTCAGTGAGCTATTCTGGCCCCATCAACTGGCCCCATCAATAAAAAGGCAATGGATTTATTTTTTATTGCCAAAATCTGGTAGTAAGATACATAATTGACAGGACCTCAACTTCCTGAGGAGAGAGCAATTTAAGTCCGTTAGGAAGAACTTGTCTTCTCACAACAAATTAAGGAAGTTTGAGATTAGATGTGCCAAGATGGTTTAAGGGTCCGACCTTCTTCTCAGAAACCAACAAGAGCAGGTCATGGAGCTTCGAGGGCTGTTGGGTTCAGAGGTGCTGTTTCTGCAGGGGACCTGCCCACCATGCTCCCAAAGCCATCTCAGCTAAGGCCACAGAGGGATTTGGACACGTGAGTCCCACCTAATCCCGATGTCAGCCCCCCTGAACCAACAGAGCACCCACTAGAGATTGCCATGAGGTCTGAAATGGGCGGCTCAGCCTGTGCCAGCCAGTGCCGGGAGAAGAGCAACAGCATCTCCAGCTGAGAGACTCCCGCTTCCTTCCACCCACTCCTTCCTCCAGCGGCCTCCTGACACGGAGCCTGGCGAGAGGGGAGAGACGCCAGCCCCCTGCCTCACCCCACGCCTTGGCAAGCCAGATGCAAGGGCTCCAGAAAAGAAGCCGTGCTAACAGCTGGAGGAGGTGGCTGAGAGCCTTGATGCAGACCTTTGCTCTATCAGATGGACCTTTGCTCCATCTGCTTTGAAGGTTCAAAATGCTCTATGAATTTTGGACATTACACTAGGTCTATAGCGAACTCTAAGTCTCAGCTGATAAGCTGCTTTCTCCCTTTTCTGTTTGCATAGTCAGTTTTGCTACACTTAAACGGTAACTGTAGTCAGTTGAAGCATACTTGTAAAAAAAAAAAGCTCTCACAAATAACATATTTTGGCAAGCTTTAGTGAGGTTCTTAATTTTACTGCCTCTGCCTCCCTTCAGTAACTGCCGTCCCCGCTAAGAGCACTGTCTCCAAATATTGTCAATGACACTTTTCTTAAGAACAATTCTCAATACTGCAAAACCAAAGCTTTTTTCTTGATTTAGTGACCATCTGTCTACGTAAAGTTGTAATTTCTCACTAGTCCAATTGATCCTTTTGTTTATCTAGCAGATGTGTAAGTTTACATATCTTCTAATCTCTCCTTTGTATTATAGGAACATAAATCTGTGGATAATACTTCATTAATTTCCTAAGGGAGGCAACTTCCAGCATGGCTTGGGAAAGCTGATGACCCAACTGCTGTCAAGGGCTGTGTGAGTAATTGACTTTATTGCTTTGGCAATAAAACAAAGCAAAACAGAATGTATGTGTCCATATGCATATATGTTTTGGGTGGAACAAAACGTACCTTTTTTTTTTCATTTTTCCTTGTTGGAACAAAAAAAAAGTAATTACTTTGTTCTGTCTGACACAAAATTAACTGCTTCCTTTTAAATTCATGTATAAGAAGCAAAGAAAACGAATGACTAAGTTTATGAAGCTGAACAGGGAGAAAAATGCAACATCTTGTTTGGCTCCAGGATTTGAGACTAACGGGGCAAAGGTAGGAGAATAGGATTCATTTCCATTCTCTGCCAGAGAGTGTTTTAAACTGGCATATCACATCTGCAGGCATAATGCCTTGACTACCAGTCTATTTGGTATTTTAGGTTGCCATGTTCCTCATGCCTCCTGTTGATCTTATTCCACCTGGTTTAAATAAATATTTATTCATACCAGGACTGAGGCACCGTGTTCCCATTTTCCAGGTGAAAGTCCTAACAACTGCATTTGGGGAGTCTTTCTCACGGAAGCTGTGCCCCAAGAACTACTAAATTATTCTTCCCTAGCTGAAGAACCCTCGGCCATTCAGCTTTCCAAGATCCTGGCAGTTAGGAATCTTTTTCTTTTTTTTTTTTTCCCCTTAAAGAGGTCGAGTGTATGAGTTTATCCACACTCTGCAGATACTGCACTGAGGTTGGTAACCCTGTATCCTGCACGAATATCCTACAAATCCACAGCCTAAAAGGGAACAAATGGCAAAGCCTTTAACAATCTCATGAATCTAGTTCAGAAAAAAAAATGTATATGAATTCACATATTCAATGAATGCAACCCAGATTGTCAGTAAATTTGGGGACAGATAGGACTATATTTTGTTCTCCCAGCTCCCCACCTGCTCAGATCATTTCAGTCAGTTCTCCCACTTTCCATACCACACCACTGAAGATCCAGTCCTGAACCACTTCCAGAGGTAAATGTTCAAACAAAGTAAATACTACTTTTGCCAGGAAGATAACTGTCCTAAGTTATTATAGGTTATGGTACTTCTGAGAAAGCTCCAAACAGGGAGCAATCTGAAGCTTCTGAAGACAGCATAGTCTTCAGAAGGAAGAATTTCTCTGATGCTGCTGTGCCCTTCCTGACATCAGCTCCGCTCATGGAGCATCCATGTTATGCCATAGAAAGCAGATTTTTTATCAGTTTTCATACTGCCTTTTAGCCTAATAAGGGAATAAAGCACTTGTGGTAATCACAGCAATTGGAGCCCCTGCGTGGAAATGCATGGGTATACACCAAGACTGCATCCTTCGTTTAGCAAATTATGCTGGCCAGCTTTTCTCCTGTACATTTTCAGCAGCATCAAAGGCAAAGCAGGTATAGATACAGATGGAAGCTGCCCGAAACCTCCAAATGTTCTTTTAATGGGGATGTTAAGCAACTTCATTTATCACAGAGCTGAACCTTTTCCATATTAGTAACACAGGACACCCAGTACTTAAACTGCTTAGGAAAACAGAAAGAGCCCAAGTCCTGAATCCAGATGTGAATTTGGCAAATAGCCCCTTTACAATGGGACAACAAAATATCGCCGATCCAAACACTTCTACATTTTGAGATCTTTGAAATCAACTTTGCACCCATAGCAATTCATTAATCATGTCTTTCAAATGTTTAAACTTCAGCTCGAACATAAAATCAACATTTGAGGTTCTTGCTAATTTGTCTCAAAATTGGCATCATGTAAAATTCCCTTTATAAAATGGACAGCCTCAGAGACATTTCACTGACTAATTGCTGCCTTTCTCTCTCTGCCCTCCTCTCTTTATTTTACTTTTAAGAGAGATAAAAAAGGTAGGGTGAAAAGTGAGTATTACTGACACAAATGAATTCTGCTGAATTTCATTTCCATTAGATTTCTACATAACTAGGGACTCTTTTGGCAGCCTCCCATAGAAGGCCTAATAAATTACTTTTGTACCAGTGCAGAAATACATTTTCTCTGATTCATTTAGCAACAACATTGCTGCAAATTTCAGACAACAGTTTCTAAAACGTCATCATATTTTTTCTTTCTGCCTAATGTCAACTTGGCGTTTCTTCCCCATCCTAGCAGAACGAGGACGGGACAAAGAAGAACCAAACCCAACAGAAACAGGCTGCCCGGCGAGCTGTGCGGCGCACAGGGAATATCCTGGAACATGCTTGGAGCAGGTGCCGGCGTTTGGGGAATGTCGCCGGCGCCCTCCCTGCTGGAGCCACCAGCGCCTGGAGAGCAGCAACTCGCCCAGCCCCTCCATGCGGTCGGGAGAAGCCTCTTCCCGCCGCGCAGAGGCACCCATCGCCTGTTCTAAGAATAGACACAGACCTCGGGGCTATCGACGCGTCAACTCAGAAACCAAGGCACAGAGAAGCCCAGTGTGGTGTCTGGGTTCCAGCATGTGACCGGATTAAAGGCTCCGTCACTCTGAAACGCTGAAATCCCTCTCGGGAGAAGTCGCCTCTCCCGGCCGCTTCAATGGGCCTCACGAGCGCTCGGCTCCCCCCCAGCACCAGGGCCTGGAGCGATGATTTCACTTCCTTCGCAGCCCGTCTTCCCGCAGGACATTAGCCGCGCCGGCCCCACGTCTCGCCGGCCCCGCTGCTTCCCGTGTGCAGCCCCCATCTGCCCCGTGCCCATGTCCCGGGCCTGCGCCGAGCTGCCTCCGGTTCCTAAGCCGTGCTTCACTGCGGCCAGCTACATCACGTTAGGAACTGCATTACTGCAAATTAAAGGTTATTAATACCAGCTCCGATACGCTTCCCTACGGAAAAGGGGGAGAGCAAGGGAGGCAGAAGCAGGCAGGAAAGCAGTGGGAATGTCAGGAAAACACCGTCTCCTCCACACGGCCTCTCCTTCCTTGAGCAACACCTCACACTTCACCAGGCCACCGACAGCCCTGCCGCAGACATGGTTCCGATCTTGCCTTGTATAAATCCCACTACACTCCCCAGATCAGCTTAAGGCAATCAAAAGCAAATTTAAGGTGAATCTGCATGTGTTTTTACGCTTTGCAAATACTACTAAATGGGAGGCTAAAAGAGTGAACTGTTGTTTGCTGGGGGGAGCCTGCAACCCACTAATAGTTCACTTTTTGGTTAATGTTTCTCCTTTTTTTTTGATTTGATCTGTTTATTTTATTCACGTCAAAGACAAGCCCTGTTAATAATATTCCTGTCTGGCAGCATCAGAACCAAAAACGCGGTGATGCTGGAAGTGGGTGGCCCTGTCTGTCCACCAACAGTCACATTTGTTTTCTCTCCCCTTGTACAATCAAACTCCCTAGGTCAGGAATTAAACCAGTGAAAGGAATTTGGATGTGGGAACGCTGAGACATATTGAAAAATAGTTATTATAAACAATGTCTTCTTTTTATTAATAAAGGAGTAAAGAAAGCCACATTAGGAAATCTTTTCAAAGAAATTATGTGGCAGATTAAAGGATACAGAAGGCCAAAGGAGTGAGCGTGGATATGGATATGTATAGCCAAGAGGTTAGAAATCAATCTGTATTAAGCTACACAACCTTAACAGTAGTATTTGTTATCACAAACACTAACTGAGTGAAGAAATGAAGCTTGCGATGGTTTGAATATGTGAGCAAAACTCAAGCAGGAGATGCCCGGTGCTCGATCCAGCCAGATGCTGAGAGTCTGCAACCAATGGGCTTCCCTGGTTTAGTTTGCCCTGGATCAGGGCTAAAGAGCAGAACAAAATCCACTTTGCTGCTCTTGAGTCAGCAGAATAAAGTTTTCCTGATTTTCACTGGTCATTTAGGATGATATATGTGAATACATATATATATAAAATCACCTTTTCAGAAAGTGTATATATAGATATATATTAAAAAAATACACATTGTATATTGTGGACTTTTTGTTATATATATATTTATATTTATATATATATAAAAAACAATTTTTGGAAAACGTGAGAGTAGCTGAGCACTGAATTACAGATTCTCGTCAGAGCATATTTGAAAAAGCAGGGCACGTGCACCACAGCTTCTTTAAATGATCACTTTGGCATGATATATTGTCTTTGCCCCCGAAAGAAAACTTTTGAAAGAGAAGAATCTAAACTTTTCAAAACAAAATGTCTTGGGTTAAGCCACGGTTAACTTAATCATAAAAATTATATAGATCTTAATTAAGGGGTTTGTAAAGTACTTCAGCTTGTCGTTCTGTTTACAATTATATGTAATATCCTCCGAAAATCTTGTTCCAGTATCAGCTAACAAAACTGAAGTTTGTTTAGATTATTGTTCTGCTAGATAAGATAAAAGCTGTGATAACACTGCACAGTGATCAGCTTGCTTACAAATACAGATACCGGGTTACTACTTACCCCTGAGGCTGCAGTCTGTGTGCTTGGGGAAGCATTTTTGCTACAGTCATCTGAGTTAGTAGAAGACGTGGATGTTGGAGTCATAGGAACTGCAGTAGTACTGTTACCTGAAAGATCAGGAACTGGCATTAAAAACAAAGATTTTCCAGTCAGGAAAAAAATAAATAAATAATTGCAGCTCAACTGCCTTATCTTCTTATATTTACCAGAGCATGCCTTTGACTTATTTATGTTCTTAGGTTTTCGCTTCCTGGTCTGAATTCCTTCTTTTTTCATTGCAAGGGGTCGAGGGACCTAAAAAAATTAAATTTCCACAGCAATCATAAGGTTACATATCTACTCTAATCAATGAAAAACAAAACTATACTCAAAGGTCGAACAGAGATGTTGAAAATGCACATTAAGTCTCTGCATAGAACGAGTGTTTTTTTCCTTCATCGTGGCAGCAATTTCAAAGAAAACGTCAGATTTTATTTGGGCAAAGCAATGAGTTGCTTCAAGGGACATTTAAACTGAATAAAGAAAGCGGGAGAGTGTTTTTTTTCTTTCCCTGATGCAGGCTAAATAGATTTTCAAGTATCTCTGTCAGGCCACACATTAACAATGCTTTTATGGGAGAAAAAAAAGGCATCTTTCAGCACAGGTTATATGATATTAAGTTGGTTGCACGTATCTGGTGCCTGATTTCTGACTCTGCTAAGTTAGGAATTATATTCAGTGGTTGTTTCTGGAAAGCACCAATGCATAGGAGAAAAAGAAGAAGAAAGCCCTTCTTCTCTTCGTGTGGGCCAGCTATGCAAACCAGACCATACCCATAAGCATTTTACGACAGAAGCTCTAGGACATGATCAGCTTAGCATTTGTTTGTGTAAGTAATTCTGCCCTTAATACAGCTTTATGGTGTATATTTATATTTATAGAGAACAGCGCTCAAAAATCTGCTTTTTGTTCTGCCTCATTACAGCTATAACTGTTACACACCAAGCATTGCTTTAAAATATATTTCAACTTAATGATAGCGTGAGAATGCAAGCCAGGTATATGCTCGCTAGGGATATAGTGTTTAAACCGGTGGTATAATTTACTTTTTCCTCAAGGACTAGACCCAAGTACCGATCACTTCTAATGCCTTGGCTCTTCAAACACTTGTGCTCGAATGTAACTCAATCCACAGAGGCATAAGAAGTCCCCAGTCTCACCCAAAGTGTATTCCGTCATATTTAGGACAGGGTTGTTTTCTTCCCGTATTATTACCTGCCAAAAGCTGGAATTACTTTTAACCTTATAGCTAAATAGCTACATCTGTCTGGGCTGTGAAAAACTGTCCTGTTAGAGGTTTGGGGTTGTCTGGTCTTTTTTTTTTCTTTCTCTGTTGAAGAGCCTGTTTAATGACAGTGGCACAGAGAGCTCTGCCACATTTTCCAGACCGATCGGCAGAGCTCCGACCGTGGAAGCCGTAGCTTGCTAAAAAGCTCTAACCCTTCCCAGGCAAGGGGGGCATTTCCAGGCACTTTTATCACTATATATGTATATATTTTTCAACCTCCTTCTCATTTCCCAGAGCCCTGGTCCCCGCATCCCGCGCGGCGGCAGCGCCCCGGCGGCCACAGCCGCGTCGTCCCCGGGCGCCGCGGGCCTGACTTACCCCGTGCAGCTTCATGTAGAGGCCGCAGGCGTTGCAGACGGGCTCGCCCTCGGCGTTCCTGCGCCACAGCGTCGTGGTGGTCGTGTGGCAGTTGGCGCAGGACAAGCCGAGCCGCCGCGACGAGGGCTGCGGACAAGCAGAGGGACAGAGCGTGAGCGGGCGAGCGGCGCCCAGCCCGGCGCATCCCCGCCGCGCGCCACAGCGACGTGGGAGAGCTAGGGCTGTCCAACACCATGGCAGAGAGCAGGGTTTTTTATATAGAGAGAGTCTCTCAGAGACATCCCCAAAATGTAAACTTATTGCGTTTGGGAGAGCTCATGTGAGGAGGCTGCACACTGCTGAGAGCAGCAGGTATCAGCTCCTTCCCCGATATGAAACAGCCTCACTGCATTTGGGACACGCTGAGGAAAAAAAGGCACATTATTTCCGTGCTTCTTCTGCAGACTTTTTAAATCCCTCTCCCCTTTACGCGACACAGGTCTGAGGTGATACCAATGCTCCTGGGTCATCTGAAAATCCGACTGCTTTGATCCCCATTCGCTCTCTGTTGGGAAAATAGGAGCATAGCAGGGCATTGGCTCCAGGCTCTGGGCCCCGTGCCGAGCCACAGCGTCCGCTTTGTAAAACGATTTTTCCCCCCCTTTTTTTTTCTTTTCTTTTTAAATCGCCTCGCGTTTTTATCATCACGCGAAAACCAACATGCCCCAGGAATGCGTTTTACAGAGCAGAGCTTTTTCCCGGCCGTCGGGAAAGCCGGGGTGCGACAGCAGGGGCCACGTCGCAAACAAGCCGTTTATGGCGCTCTTCCGTGGAGTTTGGAGCCAAGGTGAAGCAACCTTGCATCAGAAATAGCCATATAACCCCGGGCTTTATGGCTGCGAGCTGTATATCATAAGTGAAGGCAGTCCTCATAAACATGTGAAATGAAGGTGAATGGGTTATAAAAGTTCCTGTAACGAGTGATCTCTTTTACGTCCATCTCCAGCAAAGAATTCCAGCGACACCATAAATCTATTATTTTTCAAAGTATCGCATTGTCAGAAAAACATAAAAAAAAAATAAGATCGGTCGCTCACTGGGTGCCTGGCAGCTGGACAAGTTTACACGGAGAAGTCAGTTGTGGAGAATTGCATTAAGCTTAACGTGGACTATAAAGCGCCTATAACTGAAGTTACTGACTTAGGGGTACTATGCCCTTCCTCTTGAATCATTTACTGCCGGGCTGTTAGACATGCTCGGTCACCTTTGATACCGCAGCACCGGCTGCCACTTGCGGAACTTATAAAAAGGTTTTAAGAATGAAGAATATTCCAGCAGAATAACCACATTTCTTGAAGCTTATTTGCCCAAGCTGCTTTAGCAGCAAATCGCTGTTTCACACTGCAGCTCAAAAAGAACACTAGACAAAAAAATATATATTTTTAAATTTTGGATCAGTAAGTCGTTATTGGGGGCACGGAGATAAGAATAGCCAAATATAATATAGGGTGAAGTGCATAGATATATTTTTTCAACCTTAAAAATCCAATTTACATTAGCAGAGAATGTTTGGTCTCATTAATAAATGCTCATGCACACCATGTCAAAGCCCTGCTCCTCAAATCAGTCCAAGCTTCATATGGACCAGGTGAAAAAAAGATAACACATGCTTCCTTTTCTTTCTTTAGAATTACAATGTTGTCCAGTGATTCATTTTGTTAAAAAAAAAAAAATGCAACCTGTTATAAATCTTGATATATTTCATTTCTATAGCATTTGTCTATTCTGGGATCTAAACAATTTTTTTTTCTTTTTCTTTCTTTTTTTGACAAGTTTCAAAGCTAGAATGACTTTCCCGCTGCAGGAATTTTATCAGGAATTTCAGGGAAATCCAAACATGTTTAGCATTTTCAAAACATTTTCCCTTCTCACCTACATATTTCCAGCTGTATGAACACTCAGCCACACTTGATTTATAGCTGTGGCCAGAAGGCTCGGTATGGGTTGTTACCCAGAACTATTTCAGATGTATTTAGCCGAGATGTCAGCCTGAAACCAGGCTGGTGTTGGACTGTGTTTAGCCTCCTTATCCCCATTTAAAAAGAAAGGGAAAAAAAAAAAAAGAAAAGAAAAAAGAAAAGAAGAAAGAAGAAGAAAGAAGAAGAAAGAGAAGAGTGCGTTGCCACCAGAGCCGGGTATCGGCTGGTTTAAGCCCGCGGTGCCGCAAGCTGCCGAGCTCCAACGCTTCCCACGAGCGGCAGACCTGGCCTGGCTGCAGCGTTTGTGCTGCTAATTAGATAACGCCCGGCGTAATGAAAAATCAGCTGGAAGGCCAGCTGTAAAATAAATAAAATTTAATTTAATTTTTAAAAAAAATGGTAGGCACCAGCATGTAATTAAGTTCTGGTTAAAGTTCAATAAGCTGCCCCGCTCTCAGGCCCGGCTCTGCACGGACGCGGGGCTGCTCCGCGGACGCTCGCTGCCGGCTCCGAGGATTTGGCTTTTTCTGCTTTCCGTGCACCCCTGGCACAGGGCGAAACTCAAAGCGCTGTGAAATGAAGGACGGGACGTGTTTTATCGCTACCAAAACGGGGCCGGAGCGAGGCAGCTGGCGTGATTGAAAGGGTCTTGAAAGGCTGATCGGTTTGATACCCTGGCTCCGTACACAGGGGTCCAAACATCAGCTCGGATTATAGCGACGTGATTTATTGTGACGCGCTCAGTAACAGCCATTGCCGCGGAGCGTTTTCTTTTTCTCTCTGCTGACCTCCTCCCAGATTTGCTAAACATAATGTGCAGTTCCCGCTTGTTAAATTTTCTCCTTGCCTATTCAGAGCCAGTACGAATTATAAACAGGGGTTCTGCTTTGTGCTATTTATTTCCCCCCACCCCTCGTTTTAGGCGTATATTTTTAGACAAATTGCCTCTCATTTCTTTGGGGTAAAGCAAAACAAAGGCTATTATCATTGTTTAAACAATTGGTTTTCTTTGAATTATATACAAAACTTGCTTACATTCCCAAGGATCGAGCTCTCAGCAAACAAAGCAGGTCTGGAGAAATTCCTGGTGCTCTGAACAAACAATATCCAACCTTGGATTTTTTTTTTTCTTTTCAGCGGGGAGGCGGTGGGGAAGGGGAACTTCCAAACTTTGCAGCCTGAATCCCTCCAAAGCCAGCGCCAGGGCCCGGCAGCTCTGCTAACCCGCAAGGCAGAGCCTGAGTTGGCCAACGCGCGGCCTAGACGCAGACCCTGGGGACAAGGGCAGATCCTATGGGAATTTCGTTTTGCATCCGGGGAAGCGGGGAGATCACCAGGATGCTGCAGTCCGAGCGCTCCCGCCACATTCCCAACACGCGGCCCCGGCTGGGGGGCTGCCTGCCCCTGTTCCCACACTCACCACTCTCTTCTGGGGCTTGATGAGGGGCCGGCTGAGGCCGTTCATTTTGGTGTAGAGCCCGCACGCGTTGCACAGGTAGTTGCCGGTGCCGTCCCTCCTCCAGAGCGGGGTCTGGATGGAGCCGCAGTTCACGCACTCCCGGCTCTCCGACAGGTCCTCCAGCAGCTCTGGGTGGGCAGGGAGCAGAGGGGACATGGTTGGGAATGGCCCACACCACTGCACCCCATGCAGCCCCATGCAACCCCCATGCAACTGCATGCAAGCCCCACGCAGCCCCAGCGGCACGGGACTCGGACAAGCACCAGGAAAAGGGCATCATTTCAACCAACAGGCACCAGCAACCAGGGAAATATCGTCCTGCAAAGCTGTTTGTAGCACACTGATCATTATTAAAAATCTAAAATTCACCTCCATCTTTTTTTTTTTTTTTTTTTTTGTGCATTTTTTTTAATCACATCCTGTTGAAAAATGGTTCACACCACTGAAAATAAGAGTTGCACCAGTGCTCCGCCAGCTCGGACAGGAAAGCACCCCAGTCCATGTCTTTCCTGGGTGCCTCCCTTGCTCCCCGGCACAGGAATTTGCCCACCCAAAATCTGGCGAAAGTTACACAGGGGCAGATCCAGTTCTCTTCCAAGCGGAACCGGTGACAATGGCCGTTCCCAGAAAGGGGCAACAAAGAGGAGCGAAACAGCTGAGGTGATGCCCTCCAAGGGGAAGGGGGGGGTTTGTACCCTAATATTTTGGGGAAGCAGAGAGTGTTACTCAAAATCCTCAGTTTTTTTGCCGAAATGTCCAGATTTCAAAGCCTGCCTGAACTGTAGCACTGCCAAAACTAGTGGTTTAATTTTTTTTTCCCTCCAAATATTTCTCCGGGACAGGGCTGGGCAAAGGGTTTTGTTTTATGAGATTCTTATTTTAAATGCTTTGCCACAAGTGAAGCTGCAATTCAAGGAGCGTGTTTTGCGAATGTGCCTTTGCTAAGTCAGCAATGGGAACGACCACTTCAGTTCATTTATTTGTTCAATTCCAACCTCGTTGTTAGGAAGTAGAGGAAATGGAAAAATATGTAGTATTCTACCACCCTGCTCTGATAACTCCCGAGCACCGAGGGAAAAAAAGAAAAAAAGAAAAAAGAAAAAAGAAAAAAAAAAAGTCTGTATGTAAGGTAGAGAATAAAGAGAACCCACCTATAAAAGCAAACACCTTCGCCCCTGCAAATCCTTATATTCTCATTCTGACTAACTTCTCCGTATTTTGGAACAAAATAATGAATGAATATTTTACATTATATCGTTCAAGGCTACGTGACAATGATTTTAAGGGGGTGTTTTAATTTCCCCAGCAACTCAGAATTCCAATTTGCCACAGAATCCCAGTTTGGGAATGGCTCTCTGCTCCCTTCATCCCCCTCTGCTACCTGACTTAATTTGTCACAACGTTATGCTTTTATATATGCTTATTTCACTTCTTAGCTCTGGGCTCTGTAAAGTGAAAGAAAACTTATAAACTTCAAGAGACTTTCGATGCAGAAATTTGATGGCACTGCCCATACAGAACTTAGAGAAAAGGGCGCTTTTTGCCCGTGTCCAGCAGCGTACGTGGCTCTTGCCCTTTCATTTGCAGAATATTACACGCAAAACAGGAATCGGAGCACGGCAGGGTCCAGAGAGCACAGTTCAAATGACATTGTCAGCTTGTAACTCTTAACATATCAGTAAGATTTATTAATCTTCTCACTAACAGAGCCATGGAATATTGTAAGCAGTGAAATACTTAGGGCTTCAAGGACGCGGGAAGCTAAGCAGTTATTTGGCTCAGCCACTAGCTTAAAAGCATTACCCTCATACTGCAGAAAGAAATTCCACCACGACAATATTTCTCGGGCCTTTTAAATATATATTTCCCGCCGTGGTGAGAAATACATTTAACTCAATGGAAGGCAAAACGCGGCGTTAATTTTCGATAATTACATTTAGCGCTCTGAGAGTTAGGGAAGCTGTTCCAAATGCCCGGTATTTTGCCCTGAAATCCATTGCGGGCGCGGGCTCCGAGCCGCCGAAACCCCGCACAGCCCCCGAGCCACGGGAATCCCGCCTGGATTCCAGCTCTCCCCGCACCGGCTCCGGGGAAACGCGGAGGAAGAGCTGCCCAAACGCGCCGAGGAGGTCACGCAGGGCGATTAGCGACATCCGCGTACGCGGGGCTTATTATTGGAAACACCCGGCACAATAAATGTCATTATTATTCTTGTGGCGCGTTACGAGCGCGTCCAGGGGCAGCCCCCGCCGGAAAGCCCGCAATCAAAGGGCACTTGTCTCCAAGGGAAAGTGCTCGGGAGCAGCCCCGCGGCCAGGCGGGCCCCTCTCACACCGGACACGGACCGTGACAGCGGCCCCGACGCCGCCCCGACGGGCGCGAAGGCGCGGCTGGAAACGGCGCCGCGGAGGCTCCCGTGCCCGGCCCAGCCCGGGCTCCTTCCCCGGCCGCCCGCGCCTCTCCCGCCGCCAGCTTCGCCGCCACCTCCAAGCCGGAGCTGGCTTCGCTCGCCCGGCCCGCGAGCGCCCGTGTCCGCAGCGGCGGGGACGGCAGCACCGCGGGTCTGATCCAATAGGAAGGTGGGAAGGGGTCAGGCAATTTTTCCACCGCGCTTTAGTGAAGGGGGAAATTGCCCTACGTATAAAATACACCTTCCCGGTGGGCAGCGGATGATTAAAGCAAATGTTGATTAATATATATGTGCGTGTTTGCTTGCGTGTGTGTATATAAATATACACACACAACCACATCTAAATGCATGTGCCTAAATATGCACATAATCCCTCCACATCTGTTTCTTCAAATATACATAAGTATTTACATTTACACATATTTTCTGAAGCAGAGGAGGCTGCGCTAACCTTCCTACATTTTGTTAACTTGCTGCGGTGCAACCTCCACTGTGATCAGTCCAACCACACGGAAGAAATTTCTTAACTAAAAAAAAAAAATATAAAAGTCTGCGACAATTATAAAGCGAAAGTAAAATCCCATCAGTTGGTGCCCTATTTTATCATCAGCTTTTGAGCGGGAATTCTCATTCATTTGAGAAGGAAAGAGGTGGCTTTGCTTTTCTAGGCTTCTTTCTCTATTTTTCCTTAAACGAAGGGAGGAACAGGTTTGCACGCGAAATATCCCAAACCGGGGAAGGGGCTGCCTGCGTTTTCCCTAAGCACAGAGGAAGGCGAACTTCTCGCCTTCTCCTCACCATGCTCGTCCGAGGAGGAGAAACGGGGAGCGCTTTAAAGTGGGGCGATTCGTCTAGGAAACGCCGGCTTCCTAACATGGATCGCAAAGCTGATAATGAAGACGCCTTTAAAATTTTTGCCTTTTTTCCTTTTTCTTTCTTTTTTCTTTTTCTTTCTTTTTTTTTCCCCTATTTCTTTCTTTTTTTTTTTTTTTTTGGTTGTTTTTGTTGCTTTTGGGTTTTTTTTTTTTTTTTTTTTCGCTTTTTTGGAGGGAAGGCGCCCTGAGTCACCCTCCGCAGGCAGCGCCAAGGCAGGCAGCCCCCCCAGCCCGTCCATCCCGGGGCGCCCTCAGCCAGCCCGGCGGCCGCCCCCGCGGGGCCGCCCGTCCCGCCCGGGGCCGCGCGCGGCTCCTACCTGCGCCGGGCGCGCGCACGGGGATGGGCGCCGCGCGGCCCTGCAGGCAGTGCAGCATGGAGTTCTCGAAGGGCGCCGTGGGCCAGGCCGGCGCCAGCTGCGGGCCCACGTAGGACGGGTAGTGGCCCGCGTAGGATCCGTTGAGCGGGCGGGCGAGCGGGCTGTACTGGTCGCGGGCGGCCAGGCCGTTGCTGTAGGCGCCGGGCTCCCGCGAGGCGCCGTTGGCCACGGGCGGGCTGGCCGAGTAGGGGAAGCGGCCCGAGGGGTGCGAGCCGCCCGCGGCGCCGTACGAGGGGCTCTCGGCCGCCGGCTGCGACCACACGGCGTGGCCGCTGCCCGCGTGGCCGGGCTGCGCCGCGCCGCCGCCCTGCAGGTAGGGCAGCGTGGGCAGCATGGAGCCCACGCGCGTCGTGGGCACGTACACGGGCGAGCTGGGCGCCGAGTGCATGAAGCCGCCCGCGGAGGCGTCGTAGGGCGCGGGGCCCTGCGCGGCCGAGATGGCCAAGGTCTGGTACATGTCCTCGGGCTGCTCGGCGCCCGCCTTGGCGCCGCGGCCGGACCAGATGAGCTTGTTGGCTTGGTCCAAATCCGCCAAGAGCACGAGGTCCTCCCAGCCGGGCGCGCCGGGGCCGGGCGCGGCTCCCAGGTGCACGTAGGGGCCGAGCAGCGAGCGGCCCTCGGCGGCGGGCGAGGGGCGGCGGGCGCCGTCGGGCTCCGGCGCGGGGGTCCTCGACGGGCCGCGCTCGCCCTGCGACGACGAGGAGGCCGGCGACGGAGGAGACGGGCCTGGAGCCCCGGCCGAGAAGGGGCAGGAGGAGCCGCCGGCGTCCGCAGCGCAGCGCTTCACCACGCACCAGCCGCCTTCAGCCACGGCCATCCAGGTGCCCTTCTAGCCGCTGGCGAGGAGGAGGAGGAGGAGTGGAAGAGGGATCCGCGGGGCAGGGCGGGGAGGGAGGGCACAAAAGAGCGGGGCCGAGAAGGGAGGGAGGGGTCGGGAGAGGGGGTGGGGGAAAATAATAATAACAAAGTTAGCAAACAGGACAGAGAGTCTCCGTGCTTTAATGAGATTCATCAGGGCTTATCTGGCACCTCCGAGCGCCTAATCAGTCATGTCGCCCGACCGCTGTTGTCCCTCGCCCCGGCGGGATGGGATCGGGCAGCGCAGGTCAACACGGCCGGGACCCCCCGGGCCTCCCCGTCCCGCGGGGCCTCCCCGTCCCGCGGAGCCTCCGCGCTCCCGCCGCAGCCCGCGCTTTTCCCTTCCTTCCTCGGGGAAACCTCCTCTTGGGCCGCGGGGTCCGAAATGCCGCTCGGGGGGCGGAGGGGGAGAGGGGGCGAGCGCAGAGAGGGGCTTTTCAGTCATAGTAGCCTTCGTTGCTGCTATTGCTATACTTGCTGTTAATATTATTGCTATTATTATTGCTGAATGATTGCTATTATTATTACTGAATGCTATTATTATTACAATGAATGAGCCTTTCGACTCAAGGGGAAGGCAATTAGTAAGGCAATCCCTTTAAGGCTGCTCAAAGCTAAGGGAGATCTTATGCCTTCTGTGCGCATCGCCTCGCTTGTTTGCTCGTTTCCAGCCCAAGGTCACGGAAAGGAGGAGGAGGAGGAGGGAAAGGCGCTGGCTGGCCGGGGAGATGCGCGCGGGCCGGGCCCCGACGTGAGCGCGATGGGCCTGGGGCCGGCAGGAGCCGGGGGGCGGCCAGTGGGGGGCTGTGCCGGCCGCAGGGGCCGGGGGCTGCCCCAAACGCCGGGCGGGAGAAGCGGCTGCATCCCGGGTTGGTCGGCGGGAGAGGGGCCCGCACTCACTGAGGAACCACTCACACTCACACACGTTCACACACACGGCCCCGGGGCCAGGGCGCGGGGAGAGGCGCCTGAAAGCGAAAGGGGATGCGGAGCAGTGACAGCGGCGGGAGCCGCGACCGCCTCGGCCTCTCCGCGCCCACGTCGGGGCTCCCGGGAGCTCCGCGCGCGCGCCGGGCGCCGCACACGCCGCCAGCCCCCGCCGAGAGGCTCCAGAGCCGCCTCTGCTGCCGCCAGATAAGCGGCAGATAAGGCGGCGGCAGATAAGGCTGCAGCCCTGCGGGCAGGGCACGTTTGGCCCGGGGGCTCCTTTCCTCCCGCAGCAGCGACGCGGGTAGAAAGGCAGGAGCAGAAGAGCGGAGGTAAAAAGAAGGGGAAAAAAAAAAAAGAGAGAGAGAGAGAAATCGCGGGGGAAAAAATAAGAATCGGTGGCCAAACCTCCTTCCAGCTGCCCACATGGGGCCGGTGGCGCTGGGTCGCCGCGGGCTTTAATCCAGAGGCGAGGGCAGCGCGGCGCAGGCGAGACCAGCGGCTGCCGCGCCGCGGCCCGTGTATAAAAAGGAGAGAGGAGGAGGCGCCTCTCGCCGCCGCGCCGGAAAAGTGCAGCGGGCCGCCCTGATTGGGCTCGCCGAGCGCTGAGCAAACACGGGCCGCCGCGGGGGTGCCCGGCCCGGCCCGGCCCGGCCCGGCGGGCTGCGGCGCCGCGGGGAGCGCGCCGGGCCCGGGGGGGACACAGCGCGGGGCGCCGGGCCCGGGGGGGACACAGCGCGGGGCGCCGGGCCCGGCGGGGACACAGTGCGCGGAGTCTCTGGGGCGGCTCGGGGGAAACGGGGGGAGACTGTGAGTGGCAGGGGTGCCGCTGCTCCCTCTTGTTTTATTCCCCTTCCCTCAGGGAAAAATGTCCCTGCTCACTCTCGAGGAGGGTAGTTGCTTCGCGGGCAATATTCCTTCCAGGGCAATATTCATTTGCGGGCGAATATTCCCCTTCTGGAGCACGGGTTTCGCCTGTCCCCGCGCTGCCTGCCCCGCCGCACGCACCCGTCGGCCTCGCAGCGCGGCCGCCGCTCTCCTCGCCTTTCAAAATCAGGTGAATTACGCACCCTCCACCCCCCCAAAAATAATAATAAAAAAAAAGCCTATTTTCTCTGGTTAAATCAGAGCTATTTGGAGGATAGTAGTACTACTAATAATAATAAAAATTATGAACGTGACTCCTCCTTGAGTTGCCTCAATCATCAGGTGAAGGCAAAGCAAGTTCCAGGCTGAGTCCAGCCTTGCAGCAGGCGGGTAGACATTATTTTTCTCCCCTCTGTTTCTTTCTTATTCTTCTCCTTTTCTTCCCACCTCCACATCATCCCCCCAACACACACACACGCACACACCGTGCTCTTATCTCAGCTGTGTACAAACTGATATGGTACTTAGCAGGAAAGTGACTGGAAATTAAAATAACTTCGTTCCCCCAGGGGTTATCAGCTGGGTATCTGTCATCATCAGTTTGTACAGAAACAGCCCCGGCCGGCGAGGGCTGCGCTGGCGCAGAGCTCCCCCCGGGCGGGCCGCGGAGCCGCGCGGAGCCTCCGCGGAGCCGCCGTCGCAGCGCCCCTTCCCGCGGCGGCTCCGCGCAAGGTGAAGGCGACGCGAAGCGCCGGGGCCGGGGGGACCCGGGGGGACCCGGGGGGACCCGGGGGGACCAGGGGGAACCGGGGGAGCCGCCGCCTCGGCTCGGGGGAGGCCGCGCTGGGCTGGGGTCGCGCAACGAGCGGCGAGCGGAGCGTCGCGTTGGGACGGTGTCATTAGCGGCCGCGCGTCTTGCCTCTCGGTGCCGCCTAAATAACAGCGATCCTTTCTTTCCGTGACTGCGTCAGATCGAAATGGTTTTCTTTTCCTTTTTAAAAATTATATATATGTATATATACATATATATATATGTTAGTGGTGTAATATTAATAGAAGACAAAGTTTTGCAGGCGGTAGGTTAACAGTAGGCTTTCGTTGTCTTGAAACGCACTGAGTTTCTTCCGATCCAAATTTGTAATTTAATTTTATTATTTTTTTTTTACACCCGGCATTATATCCACAAAAGCCCGGTGGGAGCGTTGTGCGGGGCGGAGCGGGGAGCGTCCGTGTAGCCAAAGTAGCCACTTTGCAAACACCACTTGTTTCCTGCTTAGGGGCTATTCCGGAGAAATTCTCCACCGAAAATGCGTCCAAATATCTGTAACGTCCGCGTTTCGTTCCGGCCTCCCGGCTGCCCCTCACCGAGCCTCTGGACGCGCGAGGGGCGGCTCAGGTGGCTCGGGGCGGGTGGTTTCGGGCGCATTTGGCCCAGACAAGGTCGCCCAAAGACCCCTCAGAGGAAGGAGGCGGCGATGTGTGGGTAACCGTGCAGCGGCTTTTCTTTTCCCTCTTTTTTTTTTTTTTTTTTTTTTTTTAATTCCTTTTTCTTCCCCCCACTCTTTTTTCTTTTTTCTTTTTTCTTTTTTTTTCCCTTCTTTTATCTTTTTATCTTTTATCTTTTTATCTTTTTATCTTTTTATTTTCTTTTTTCTTTTCTTTTGTTTTTTTTTTTTCCCCTCTGCGCTGACCAGTGTGTCCATGCTACACGTTTCATTTTATTGCCCCCGACTGGAAAACGCTGCCGGGACCGGGTCCAGCTCTTTCGCGCCGATCATTTCCTCCCTTCTGCTCCCGCCACCGCTCAGCGCGCGCAGCCTTCGGCGGCTCCCGTCTCGTGACGTCACTCCCGCCCCGAAACACACACTTCTGACGTCATCTGGGCTCAGGGGCGAAGCGAGCGGTGACGGGGGGGAGCAGCCTGCAGGATGCTCCCGTCTAGGGCACAGCAGGGTGCAGGGTACTCCGGCGTTTTTAAGGCTGCTCCGGCGTTTTTAAGGCTACTCTGGCGTTTTTAAAAGCTGCTAAGGCTGCTCTGACGTTTCTAAAGCTGCTGCGGTATTTTTGAGGGGGAAAAGCCCGACGAGGGGAGGTTACTGCTGTGGGCAGCGCTAGGAAGGTGCTGGTTACCCACTCTTCCCACCCCAAGCGGCCAAGTTACCATTGCTCCTGTTCCCAAGCAGAGAATAAGGGAGGATTAAAAACCCTAAAATAAAAATTGTGCCAAATTAAGAGAGATTTCCACGTTAAGTGCTTCTAACACGGAGGAAACCTGGGTGCTGGTCGGTCCTTCCCGCTCGCTCTGCACAACCCCCCTGTTTTTCCAAGGGGGAATTTGGGCGAGGGGGAGGCCCCTTCGCTGCCCCCCGGGCCCGAGCAGCCCCGGAGCGGCGGCTGCGGGGGACAGCGCAGTGCGAGGGGTCACTTTGGTGGCTATCGCGGGATGCAGCGTATTCTTTTTCCAAGCCGTGTTTATGTAACTTAATGTACTTTAGAAACTGCTGGAGAGTTTAGGCCGCGCTGATAAGCGCCGCGGTTATTACAGGCGACGTGCCGGGCAATGCTCCCCCCTCGCTGCTCCCGCTCCCTTATCCGAGCTCCTTAAAATACACTTTTTATCAAGGCCGCCCCATGATACAGAGTGTTTCCATTCCCTGGCGGCTGTGACATTGAGGCGGACTTATCGATCGGGGCATGGGCGACACTGGCGACGTGCGCCCAGCCCCGCGGGGGGAACCGCGGCGGCGGCGGCCTCGCCTGCCGCCCGTCACCGCCGCCTCGGGCCCGGCGGGAAGGGCCTCCCCGCCCGGGCAGCCCCGAGCCCGGCCTGTAGCTCCGGCTGCTCTCGAGGCCCGCGGAGCGGAGGCCCCGGGGGCGGCGCGGCCCCCCGGGTGCCCCCACGGGCAGGACACCCTGCCCCGGCCCCCCGCGCCCCTGCGGGCAGCGGAGCGGCGGGTGGCGGGAGTCGCCCATTCATTTAACTATGTATTTTAATAATGACCGGCAGCTTCGTTTTATTTGGCCTCCAGTGCCTGAGGTCCGCATGGTTAATGATTTCAGAGGGTGTTTGATTTTTTTTTTTTTTTTTTCTGGGGAGAAAGAAAGAAAGAAAAGCCGTTAAAATCAACACCACGCATAGAAGGGAGGCTCCCGTTCCCGCGCACC